GAAGTGTGCTAATAGGCAAGAGCCGGAGCTTGTGTTCAAACATTAATGTGAGGGTTGTAGTGAGATTGTTTCAGAGCCGCATAATGTTTTTTTTGACCACTGCACCAAACCCCACCAGACCACTTTGCTCTCGTCTTTGCTTCTGTACAAGGTTTATGGCTTTGCTTTCCATTAGCATTGTGGGCCCCTTAAGAGGATGGGGCGAGAGTGGAGATGGTGTGGGAGAAAGCCTGAACAGGAAGACAGGCAGGCAGCCAGAGAGGGGTGTGGTGGGCTCGGATGGAAATGGAGAAGAATAAATACTTATTTGCAAAAAATTAAACCCTTAAAGATTTTCTTACATTGTTAAGGTGGCCGGGTGGCAAAGGGGTCGGAGCATAGAGCAATCACCACTGAGGTCTGAGATTCAAATGTTGGCTGCCATCCATTTCTGCAACGGGTTCTCAAGTGTGGTGAATTGATGGTATCAGCCCATGAACCCCAATGACCGGCAAACAGACCTAAAATATTCAGTTTGATTGAGTTGCAATGAACGATCTTTGCAAGGCATATGCAAAAGGTTTATCTTGTGTAGATTAAGAGGGCCTGCTCAAGTGGCATCTGAAGTAGTTCTGTGACTTGGACTTCCAGGGCCTTTTTCTGACCCCCAGGATGTTTGCACCTTTGTCTGAAAAGTTCCAAATGAAAATTGTCTTGTCTCATGATATAATCCTGATAGCCAAAAAAATGTAATATAATAGGGGAGGTGGGGCGGAGGAATAGGTCAAAAGAAAAAACAACACACATTGTGATGAACAATGAATATGATTTTTGCGATAGTTCTAATAATACACTCCACATTTATTAACGGCCAGAGGTGAATGCAGGAAATGGATGTCAGGAGAAATGTGCCTCCTGCCGCAGACTTCCTCCCCAAAAAGCCACGACGCACGCGCACACACGCGCGCACACACTCGCACACATGCACGCACACACTCGCACACATGCACACACATGCACACACACACACGCGCACACACAAGCACAAACTCAAACCTGCTCATGCACTGTATTTTTTCAGACATTTGCCAACCGCCCCAAGCGTATTACCTGCACGCACACACACACACACTCGCGTACATGCACGCACACGCACGCACACACGCGCACACACACGCCCATTCATAGGGCTCCTCAGGCGTGTGTTCCCAAAATAGGACCAAAATGGCCGCGGTGGAGTTGTGCAGCTAAAACATTCGTGCTGAAGGTTCATCAGCAACAATCCATCGGGCGGCCTCCTCCTCCTGCTACCCCCCCCCCCCACCCCCGCGCAACCTTACTCGTAGTATTCAAGGATGCATACCGATGCACTGTATGTTCAGTGACATTACTGAAGTCGCATTTTAATTCACGTTTTTGGCATCGCTTTGGGGCTGCGTAAGTGATTCATTGTGCTGCAGGATTGTACAGAAATCCCGCTGTTCGAAAGGAATGTAGCAGCTGTTGTCAGCTCTGAGCCGTCTCCGGATTCTAGCACGCGAGTCTGGAATTAAAGTGAAAAGATCAAGTTATTAGCGGACTCTTGTGGGGATTTGTGCCTCTGCACCGTTGCGTGCTCTCGGGCCGATGTGTCCGCTCCAATAGGGTTTCATGAAACTACTGCAAACGATATTTGCAGGAAAATCCGCTCCAGAGATATGGGGTGTTGTTGGAGGCAGAGTGACAGTGATATTAGAAGGTGGCTTTCAAATGGCCACGGTAAATAGAATAATGAGGACTTGCAAAAGACAGGCCTGTAATGTACAGTGACCACAGGTTGATGATGATGATGATTCCGGCGAGAAGCAGGGCAAAGCGTCGCTTCAAATAATCATCCACAGGGTAACGTGTCGTACAAGTTGTAATGTCCGTGCATCCTGGAGAAATTAAGGATTGAATTTGTTGAACGTATGTAAACTTTAAAACAATTTTTTTATTCTCCCATTGTAATTGTTTTGCTATTAGGCATCGTAACAATGTGTTCATTCTAGTACTTATGATCCATGTATCGATTTTTGTCTCTGAGAATCGATCGTTTGTTTGCCGATGCAAATGATGTGCTAAGGTGTCTGCAGGCCTATCGAACAAACGAGGCGGACCAAACCAAACGCACAAGACGGACAAGTGTGACCTCGAGACTCGCGATACAAATGCACAAACGCGACCCTGATTTATTACAATTCACAGAATCGCCGAGGAGATGAATTATACGTGTACTGTACGTGCCTAATGCCGTCATCCAGAAGCCAAGTTTGGTGTCACCATTCGGCCGTTTGGTCCATGAACGTCTTCTCAGGCTCTGAGTTGGGGGGGGGCAGGCAGCCAGCGCTGGTGGGAGCTCACAATAATTTGATAGTTGTGTGTAATTCTCTGGGGGCGCAGCAGGAGCGGGGGGGGGGGGGGTAGTGGCACAGTGGTTCACGCAATGTGCCATGAACCCAGCGACCTGAATTCAATCCCTGTCTAAAATCAGCGGTTGGTGATATCTCAACCAATGCTGGATTTCCCCTCTTCCTCCTCCTCCCTTTCACTAATCTGTACTAACCAGCATGGTGAAATATGCTCAAACAACCCCCATGATTGACACTGCTTGGGGCACCTGTATGTATGTTGACCCTCTTTCGCACCGTAAGTAGCAGTGTATTGACAAAAGGCTTGTCAATTATAACTTCATGGTGCTCTACATTTGTCATTGAACTTATCCTTGTATACAAATGAACGGTATCCCCACCCATCCCTCACCCCCACCCCCCTTATGCACGTGTACTGCTTGAGGTGGGGCACTCTGAGGACTCCACAGGACACTGGGGCCGGGTGTTAAACCCAAGCACGCTCGCACTCTCTCGTGGCGAGCCCTGACCACCAGGCCACCCACTTCCCCCGAGCGTTCTCTTGTACGTCTTAATTATACGTGCATTTGCACGTATACAAATATAATAAACAGCGAATGTAGATGAATTATGAGTGAAATGCAAGTTGTGTGTAATGAACCTTCAAATGTGCTCCGTGGCCCCAATTGTGGCTTATTTGTCCACCGCGCGTGCGTGGCACGAAGCGCCAGGGGTGTCCTCTCCCCCTGCTCTCTGCTTCATTTGAATGCAAATTGTGCGAAGGGCATGGGGGCTAACCCTCGCAGTACCAAAGGGCACAGTCACTTATGGAAAAATTTGAATACAAATTGTCAAGCGGTGTGTCCATTGAGTGTCATAACTGATCTGCGCGCAGATTGATCGCCGTGCCCCATTAACATCGAATGCGATCCCGGCTCGGTCTCGCAAAGTCGCGGGCCGCTCACCAAAGTTACGCCCGCCAAGGGTCGTTAGGCTACACAGCGGTAATCTGCGTGGTGGTGGTGGTGGGGGGGGGGGGGGGGGGAAAGCCGCCGGTACTCCGCGTTGATTAATTTCGACGTGGCGTGAACAGTGGGACCATAGGTGGGGGGCTAAATATTCCGTTGGCGAATTCTACCCCAGGTTTTTGTTTAAACGTTGGGGGGGGGGGGGGGGGTGGAATAAAAAAAGAAGGCGACGCATCGCATTGCGCGCGACAGCGCCGCCGCAGATGTTTGCAGTGACACCGAAAATAAAACTGCGCCATGACAGAAAGTGCAGTATTGCTTATGCCTCGACAATGAGAGCCAATCAAATCCAATTGTGATTATTAACGTTCTTTTTCACACATTTTGCGTGATAAATGTAAGTACCTTAGCCAGTGCAGGCAACATAAACAGAATACAGAATGTACTGCACAAGATAAGCGGCTTTTGAATTAAAGTGTTTTTTTTTTTTTACACTAATGGAGCAAAATTAAACTTTAATTTGCCTGTCCTAATTGGTCAGCTTTCGAATCCATTTGCCACGGTGGCAGAAAGTCTGTTGAATTTCTACAGCTCAGCGCGTCAAATGTTGGTGGGGGGGCATTGGGATGGTGCGCGAGGGGCGGCGGGGGTTAACGCAACAGGCCGAATTACAGAAATTAGCGGCCTGTTCTGCGGTCGGCCTATTCTGCCCATTCACGTTGTTGCTTCTGTGAGGGCCAGGGCTTGTAAATCATCGCGTTTGTTAGCCTGTCCGCTTTAATTGAAATCGTTTCACCCGTTGCATCCATTAATTCAATTAAAGCCTCATGCACTGCGGCTGCCACCTCTTCCCCCCCCCAACCCCTCGCTCTCCCTCCCTCTCGCGCTCTCAATCCCTTTCACGCACGTGCCCACGTTGATGTCAGTACACAAAGGCTAACACCATTTGGCCGGGCGCCACTGTTGGGCTCTTGCAGTCTCACCGGCAAATTGCGCCGCTGATTTGGCTTTTGTGTCGGCCTTGTTCTACTGCCTGCGCGTGTTTGTGTTCTCGCGTCTTTGTTCGGAACACGTGTGTGTGTGTGCGCCTGGTTTTTTCTCTTCTCCGTGTTTGCCCGCGCGGCACACGTGCGCGACGTTGCCCGGCGTACGTGAATCTACCCCTCCAGCGCGGCTTTTTTTTTTTTACCAAGCGATGGAATCTCACTTCGCGTGGTTATGTTTTATTGCACGTGTGGGGTTGGAGGGGTGTAGGTATTCCGTTTGATAGCGTATCCATACAAGTACAAATAAAGGGTCAGGGTTGGGAGTTAAATAGTGTGCTTCCACTCAGAGCATTGTACGTAAACCATTTTCTTCTCTTCACGTGGCTCTTTCACGTGTGATTTCAACTCTACGTGTGTGTGTGCGCGCGCGCCCCCGCTGTCACTGAGCACCCAGTGATCCGATGGCATTGAATGCCAACATTTGCATAAGCACGGGTTAATACGTTTCCTCTGTTTAAAATTTCAAGAATGTACATATTCCCCATTTGTAACTTGTAAGGCGTGCATGCTCCCTAAACTGAAGCACTTTATTTATGGAGCAAGGGATCGCTCAATGGCCAGGTGTCACTCTGCTTGCTTGATCAACTCCACAACGCACCGTGTTTTTTTGTTTGTTTGTGTGTTTGATCCTTGACCAGCTTTGTGTCATCCTGGAGCCCATGCAAGAGCTCATGTCCCGGCACAAGACCTACAACATCAGCCCACGCGACTGCCTCAAAACCTGTCTCTTTCAGAAGTGGCAACGCATGGTCGCCCCTCCAGGTACAACGCTCGCACGTCCCGCCTTGACCCCGTCACGTGGGCCACTCCGTCCCCCCCCTCCTCCTCCACCCTCAAACGTTCCCTCCCCTTTCCTCGACCCTTCCATCTCGCCCACCACACGGCCACCCCACACCCGACCTACTGCCCTCATTTCCCCAACCTCGCCCACCCCCCTGTGCTGCCGGCCTTCTCCGCGTCCTAACGACGGAGCCCAGTTTGCGAGCGTGACCCGGAGTGTGCGCGTCTTGTGCCGAGCAATCACGCCGGTCGTAATTTTCGCCGCAAGTACGTCAACACGAACGGTACATTTCCATTTTGCCTTCTCTCATTCGAGTTACGTTTGCACACACACCGCTGTGCATGCCTGTGTGTGTGTGCGCGTGCGCGCGAGAGTTTTTTTGTTTATTATTAAAACCGACGCAACCCTTATTATGCTCTAGCTGCCTTGCTTTATTTTCTCGTTTTGGAACGCGCGAATATTGCGATCGAATCGTCTTGCGTTTTGACCTGCAACGTTCCGTCGCTCGCCATCGGCACGCACACACATGCACACACATACATACATACACGCACGCGCGATACCGTACACCTTGCTCCGCCGGCGAAACCAAACGCGTTTGTTTCCATCCATCTTCACCGTCGACCCATCCATCCTGAGACCACGTGGGCCTCACGCGGCTCTTGATGACCACCTGCCGCCACCAGGCCTCGCGGTCCTGGGCCGTGACGCGCTGTTCGCCCAGGCTGATGCCTCAAGCTTCCCGGTCCCTTTCCACAAGCTCTGTCCATCGGCACCTCGGCCTCCCTCTGGGCCCACAGCCCTCGGGGCTGATTCTCAAAAATCCAATGGTGGCCGATCTTCGCGGGATCCATTCGGTACAGCTGCCAAATTTGTAAATAAAGACGAAAGCAAAAGAATGACATGCAATTTCAGATTGAAACGTAACGATGCTTAGGCATGTAATGGTCTACAACCCCCCCCCCCCCCCACCTTTCCCCCTCTTTCCCAGAGATGTCACGATTTGGGAGTCGTGATTCTATTCGACAGTCTATTATTTTTTGTCTCTTTTTTGTTTTTGTTTTTCCCTCTTTGGTACAGTTTTGATCGCTCAATTAGCCCTCGATGTAACATTAACAAATCATCCGCTTACAATCCGAGCAAATCCTGAACGTTCAATTGTCCCACGCGCCACAATTTGACGCGCGCGTCGTGAGCACAAAGACTCGATTTTGCCCAGCAAATCGATGCATCGTTACATGCCTAACCACAATAATAACATTGATGATGCAAATGTTTACAGTGGCATGCGACAGTGTGCAATGAATCTTGAGTGAGGAGAAGTGGATTCACTGTTCGCGCCGTACGTCTGCGTCGTCACTCATGACGCGCTCGCCCCCCCCCCACCACTCCCACCGCCCCCCCACCCCCACCGCCCCCGCCGTGTGGCGCGTGCGTGCCTTGTGCGCAGCAGAGCCAACTCGCCCGCAGACGAAGAAGCGGCGCAAGCGAAATAATTCGGCCAGCAGCACCTCCAACTCGAGCGTGGGGCCCAACAACGGCACCAACAAGAAGAAGAGCCCGGCAGGGAGCAACTTCAGTTTGGCCAGTCAGGTACCTGTAAGCATCGATTTTTCTATTCCTTTTCCGCCACACGTACAAAACAGACGGGCGAGTGAGCGAGCGAGTATGTGACCGAGTGTGTGGGGTGAGTTGAGTGTGTGAAAGAAGTGAATGGGTGGACAAGCAAATTGGTGAGCGAATAAGTGAGCGAGTGACTTTCATGGGTGAGAGAGTGAATATGCGTGAGTGAATGATGGAGTGGAAAGTGCTGCTGCATCTGTTGGCTAACCGGAACATTTCGTAGCATTAGAACCCTTAATGTATAACTAATGATCATCGTGAGAAAAATCTTGCCAGTTGCCAAGGCGAGTCTTCTCCAGTCCTCAATGTCCGCTCAATTCCTTTTTTGAGAATCTTGGCATGCAAGAGGAAAACCAGTGCGCACAGAAAACCCACAAGTTGCGATGGGGGTTAACGCTCAAAAATCTGCACGGATAAATCACCGACTCGCTTGCTGCACTGCCTTATACAGACCCACGGACATAGCCTTATTGCAACCGAGCCATACATTGCCGTCTGTTAATGAATAAATTAATGCATATGCCTTCCGCCCTTTAAATCTTGGTAGCCATGCTCTCTCACTCCCTCACCTGAGGTTACTGCAGACGCAACGCTTTGCTCCCTATCCACCTGAGCTCGCTCCGTAATCATATTAACCCGTTCCCGTTCCGATGACATACGTGTACGTCATGAAAAAGGAAACTGGATGGAAACTCTAAAGTAAAATAACTTGATCGGTATCGAGGCTCCCACAAGGCCATGCAGCAGGGCGTGTGGAAACAGTTTGGCGCCAGCTATCCTAGAGTGCGGTCGTGTCACTACGGTTCCCTGCGGCGAGTACAATTGCTTTAAAAACAACGGCGCTACAACGCTTCAAAATAAAATGAACGGCGAGCCGTTTGCACGTTCTGGGATTTCGAGGTGAGCGCGGGACCCCCCCCACCCTGCAACTTTCAGACGTCTCGGAACGCGAGTGGGGGGGTTAAGCTGCACCACCGCAATACCTGCGGCATTGTGGTTTTAGAGCCAGAGCAAAACCTGGGCTCAGGCAATTCACATAATTGTCAGTTGTTTCACCGGCTAAGAGCCCTTTGAGATCAATGTCATTTTGAAAATAGATCTGGATAATGGTAATTGTCTAGTAATCATGGATCATTTAAAAAGTATATTTATAATTGTAGATCAGTTTAAGATTTGGCTTTGGGTGATAATACTCTGATACAGCATATACTTGTAGTTATGAATTAGGAGTCTTCCGATTCATCGCCTGGGCAATTCAATGAGTTGTCACGATTCGGCGTTCAAGTATAGATTTTGTTCATTTAACTTTGCTGTGAATATAGTGGCTTCTGGTGGCTACAGGGGTCGTATAACCTCGTAACCTATAACATGTGAATTGAAACACACCGATTACTACACACGCGATTCAATGCACATATCAGCAAGCTGAAGAATCTTGATGAATAGATTCATTATACATGCAAGTGTCGCAGTGGTTTTAACGTTCACTTTATACGAGGCCGAATCCTTTCACGATGTTTACGTGTAGATGTGAAGTTCCGGGTAGAGTGTGGCTACTCCTTACCTCTTGATAGACGTCCGGCAGGCGTGGAAGACTAAGACAAAATGCACTCCAGCAGAGAGAGGCCCATCCTCCAGCCAGGGCGTGCAGTTGCAGGGCTGCGCCTTTGCCGCTAACTTTCTTTAGATGGGAAAACTGTTCCATCGTCGTCGACGGCTTCCCTGTTGGCTCTTGATCTCACATACCGTGCGTGCGTGTGTTTCCATAATGTTGGTGGGAGATGCATGTCAGTGGCGAGCGGTGGGGGAGCGGTTATCGCACTGCGCTACGATCTTGGAGACCCGAGTTAGATTCCTGCTCATTGGCCAACACCGGTGACGATTATCTGAACCGGTCCTGGGCCTCCCCTAGGTCGACTAGGCCTCAAATAAGTACCTGGTGCGGTGAGTAAACATCGCCACTGGGGAGACAAAGGCGGCCGGGAGTGGTTCTGCCTATCCACCTCCTCGTGTGCCGTGCCGGCTTTCATTAATAGGTCCTGGCTAACAGCACTTTCCCCAAAAGTCCGTTAAGGCTACATGTGGGATCTTTGTCTTTGTTTCCATAATGCACGGGAACGGTTTGTAACTCGGTTGCTTTTGTTGGGAACATGTTGGGGAGAGCATTTCTTTATTAGAATTACTTAGACAACCCCCTGCCATCTAAATAAATGAATAACTAGTTTGGTAAATAAGATTGGAAATGTCACCATCAGAACCCCCCCCCCCCCCCCCCCCAATTTTAAAGCTCACAAGGAAGGGCATTTAATTAAGGCGCACATTTCCTGTGTGCCCCATTAATAATCAACGGGACCCACCTCCCAAGCAAAGCCTTTTAAGCCCGTGGACATTTTTTGTTGTTGTTGTGGCCGCGGCAGATACAAATCCCCGTGCCTTTGGAATAACGCGTCGTTCCTCGGAAGCATAACACGTGCAGGGTCATAACTGGAGGGATGAGACGGAATGGTAAATACCCCGATTGGCAGTGGGGGGGGGGGGGGGGGGGGGCGACACAGTGGCAAGATGTTATCTCCCTCGCCTGGTATGCAGGAGGTCGTGGGTTTGATCCTGAACCCTGCCGCCTGGATTTTTCTCCGGGTCCTTCGGTATTTCCTTCCACATTTAAAATCATGCCTTTTGAGTATTTGGCTGCTTTACATATTTCCACATGATAAGCCACTTCTTGGTTGCCGCTATCATTTGTGATAACCAGGTCGCTTCTGAAAAAGAGCTATACAGCTCAGTGGGCCTTTCCTGATAAAATAAAAAAAACTAAATAATAAAGAAGTGGCTCTTCTCCACCACACTCGCCACGTTGTCCCTCGCGCACCACAGCGGCGGGCGCCGGCAAGCGAGCTGCAGAGAGAGTCTCCGGCTTTTGTCAGCGTTTGCATGCAAACGATAGCAGGGTCAGCCCCGAAAGCGAACCCATCTCAGTAGCCCCAGGGCGCTCCGTGTTTGACACATGACACGTGGTTGCTGCTGGTGGTCGTGGGCAGGTTTGGCTCGTGCTGCCCTCTAGTGCGGCTGCGTGAGCACTGTCTGGTTTGTGTGCGCGCGCGTGCGTCTGCTCGAGTGTTGCGTGTGCGTCACCGCACGCGCGCGCGTGTGTGTGTGTGGATCTCCGCACGCCGTCGGGACCCAAATGCAGTGATCCATTTTGTACATTCATTAGCGTTGGGAGTAGCTTTGGAGAGGGGGAATTGGGGGTGGAGAGAGCGTGGCGGCTTTGAGGATGGTGGATATGCAATATGACAAGGGCTCGGGGGGGGGGGGGGGTAGATGCTTGTCTGTGAATGCAGCAATGTTGAAAGAAACGGTGAAGCCTGGTGCTGTTGTAACTGGAACTGCCTCAATGCCTCATTTGAATCTGGAGGCTCGTTTCCCTGCTCGCTGTGGAAGGACGTACAAATATACGAGTGCCATTATTGTCAATGCAATGCTGGATGAGGGCCTCCCCATACCATTTGGTTTTGACCTCACTTGACCTCGCTGGTCGGTGCAGGTTGGCGAAGATGGGGAGCGTAGGCATGGAATCGTAGAAGTGCAGTGCAAAGATGGACTTCCGCGCGAACCTCTGCTCACCAGCATGCAGCCCTGCGCCGCCTGTGACAACGCAGCATGCGTGGCCACGGCAGACACGCGTGGGCCCATCCAGCACCAGCCAGGCTCAACGCCGCTTAGCTCCGTGGTCCGATGGCATGTTGGCGCACGCCGGGAGAGTTGGTCATAGACGCACCGTGTGAATATCCAGCGGCAAAAACAAAACAAAACGGGGAGGCGCAGAACACATGGTCATGGCAGACTGGACGATAGACTTTCAAACACAGCAGGGAGAGCGTGCCCCATTAAGGGGGGGGGGGTGGGGGGGGGTTGCAGTCGTTATAAAAATCCAATCAGCAGAAGCGATCTGCTCAGGAATGGGAAGATTATGATCACATGAGCACAAGCAGACAACTTCGGGGCTGCTACTTGGGCCGCGTAAAATGTGCCCTGGAATCCAAAGCCTCGTGTATGGCTTGGAAACCTTTCGAGTGTTTGTGGGCGGACGGGGGGGGGGGGGAAACTTTGCTATCCGGAGACAAGTTTGGGCAGCACGCGCCCTCATGTTTTGAATCCTACGCTTTTATCTCGTGCATCGGGGAGAGCTTAATCTGTCATCCTGCCTAGGGACAATCTCGGGTAGTTGATTTCAACCATTGGCGTGTATTTTATGATTTTTTTTGGCGTCTTCGTATATTGTTCTCCTTAGTGGCGATGCTCTCGCACACACCGCACCAGGTACTCATTTGAGGCTGCCTCGTCCTCGGGAAGGGCCCAGTAGCGATTCAGAATCGTCACCGGTGTTGCCCGCGAGCGAGAATAAAACTCGGTTCGCAGGGTACGTAGCGCGCTCACCGCTACATTGCCCGCACGCACACATCTACACCTGCGTGAGTGACGTGTGAAATGTAGTGGAAACGTGCATCAGTGAGCAGGTCACAGTTTCATGTTGTCGGACGCTTACGGAACAGTTATTTTGTTTCGCACGCATCAGCAACAAACGAGAGACGCGGGGGGGGACAACGTCGATTAATACAAACGCGAGAATGCGATTATCATATTTGATTTTTGATTCAAAATAAAAGAAGCCATTTGAAGCGCGGCATTGGAGAAGTTAATGCCCGTCAGCTGAACGTCCAAATTGATTTGTTGCTAATGACTTACTGTTATTTTTACTTGTAAATTTCACGTGCTCGTTAATTCAAAGTCATCACTAATACCCCCTTTTGACGCGCTCGCTGATTATGCGACGGCGAGCGGCCCGCGTGTGCGGTGCCCACGTGCCGGGGGCCGCGTGTGGTGCCTGCATGCCCACGCATGAGGTGTCCACGTGTCCACGTGCGGTGTCCACGTGTCCACGTGCGGTGTCCACGTGTCCACGTGCGGTGTCCACGTG